GCCAGTCACCCGGAAGCGAAGCCAGGAAGGGAACTCCTAGGAGTGCGTGACCGAGAATCCAGTGGCGAAGCCAGTACTCACGAACATTTGGGATTCGGAGTCCAGGTTGTGAGACGATGAGAGGGGTAACTTGAGATGATGCGGCGGTGCGGGGGACTGGACGGCGAGCGGCGAGGGAAGGGCGGAGGGGGTGGGGGGCATCGTTGAGGAGGACGGTGGTGGCCACGACGAGAGCTGGCGGGCGTGCGGACGTGGACGGGCGGAGCGGAGTTGTGTATGGTGCCCGCCGGGTGCGTCGCTACGCGGTGAGCGGAGTGGAGCAGTGCGGTGAGGGCGTTCGTTGAGGAATGTTGCCCGGGAGGCCTCAGACCCTGGAGGGTTCCTCATCCACTGAGGGCGGCGGTGATGTCCATGGCCACGCCACGAGTGGAGTTCCACCAGCTGCCAGACCCTGGACTCCTCATCAGAGGATTCCTTAGCCAATGCCCCCAGCGTATCTGCTTCGCCAGATGGGAGTGGGTAGAGCGGAGTAACTCGTACCCTTTGTTGTCGCCCCTTTTGCGTTGCCACTTGACGACAAGAGTAGCATACTATGTGGTTCGCCCCCCTGCATTTCCAAGTCGCGAATATGATCAGAGCGTATGTATCGCCTCGCATGCGTTGCCATGTGAAGAGCAGCAGAGTACTATGTGTTTGTGACCCCCCTTGAGTTGCCATGTGACGAACTCAGCAGCAAGGGGCCTGTGTTCTGTCATCCCGGATTGCCATGTGACTAGTAGAGTAGTCCAGTATGTTTTCCTCCCCCGTCGTTGCCATGTCGCGAGTAGAATGGGAACGTATATTTCGCTCCCCAGGCGCTGCCAGGTTACGAGTGGAGCAGGATACTATATATATGTTTCAACTACCCTACGTTGCCACGTGACGAGTCCAGTAGAACAGCATTTGTTCCATCCCCGGGCGTTGCCACGTGGCGAGTCGAGTCGAATCGTATTTTTCCGCCCCCTTGCCGAAAAGGGAGAGGGGACGTGAGCGGGAGGTGAGGGGTGCGGTGTGTTCAGGGTGCCCCTGGGTGCGTGTTGGTGCTTGTGGTGTCGGGGTGTCTTAGCCCAAGGGGTTCGCGGGGCCACGAGTGCTTGTGGGCGTCAGAAAGTCCACCAGGGGGGTGCTGTCTTGCAAAGACTTGCGGGCATTTGCGAGAAAGTCCGCCGAGGGACTTTTTCCTCGACTTGCTAAAGCCTGGGTTGCCTGGGGTGTCTGTGGTGTCCATGATTCGGGTGTATGGTGGTGTCTGTCGATGCCTGTTGTGCTTGGGGGGTTCGTGGGGTTGTCTCGGGTCCACGGGGTGCCTGGAGTGTCCAGGGTGTCCCGGGCGCCTTGGTGCTCGGGGCGCTCTGGGGCACCTGGGGCGTTCTGGGGTGCCTGTCGGTGCGGGCGGATGTGGTGCGTCAGGTGCCTGGTGGTGCCTGTGGTGCTGGTGGGGTGTTTGGGATGGCTTGAGTGTCTGCGGTGCCTCGGGTGCCTCGGTTTCATTTACGCTTGCCATGTTTCGTTCCGTGCCGTGCTCTTCCCTCCCCTTCTGGGTGGACTTGGCTGGTGAGTTTCCCCCTTGCGGGGGGGTGGGTGGACGGGTGCGCGGGCGCGCTGGCGGGCGCGTGCGCGTGCGATCGCGGACGGGCGGGCGGGAGCGGGCCGGCTGGGACGACCAGAGTGGAATCGTCTGTGCTCGGCGTCGTGCGCTGCCACGTGGCGAGTGTCATATAGCAGCACGTATGTCGCCACCCTGACGCTGTCGTGTGACGCGTGGAGCCGAGTGCTGCTGCGTTCGCCCCTGTTCGTGCCGCCACGTGACGAGTCGAGCGCATCAGCGCTTGCAGTCGGGCAGCTGGTTCAGACGCCTCCTCCCGGAAAGCTGGGCCGGCAGTCCTGCGCCAGCTTCTCGGGGAGCTGGCCCAACTGCTTCAGTGCATTCGCTCCTCCATCGTTTCCAGCAGGCGTTGGCCGAGGTTCATGTCAAGAAGCTTCCAGGAAGTTGGCCCAGATTTCTTACATGATCATTGTCTTGATCGCATCTTCGGCTGTACTCCGTGCACCCTCTGCGTTGCCACGTCGCGAGTCGAATACATGGCACTTCTCGTCTCCCGGGATACAGAACTCAGCTCGCATGGCGGCATGGCGCGGTCCAACCAGCCCGATACGCAGCACGTGAGGCTTGCAAGGGTGGGCCTGCAAGGGGAGGCCCATTCGAAAGCCTGTTTGCTCGCTCGCGCCGTCGGCGCCGCGAAGGTTAGCTGCCTCTCGCTCCCCCCTGTTCCTCCCCCTCTTCCTCCCTTCCCCTCCCCTCCTTCTCCGCCCCCTTCGTGTTTTGCATTGTCGCCGTCGCTGTGGTAGTTTTAACGGTTTTGGGAATTGCCGTGTTGAATCACGTTCAATATTTCTGCATCGTGTTGCGTCGAGGATGTAGTTATCCGCTTCGATCGTGGCTTCGTTTGCGCGCACATTTCGTCATTGTGGGTTCTTTCTCCCTCCCCTCATTTGTGGTTCCTCCACTGTGGCATGTCAGGAATTCGGGGCATATTCCGACCTTGTGCCTTGCACGGTGCTGTGCTGCGGCTTCTTGATCGTTGTGTGATGCTTGCCTATCGAAGACGACTTCGGCGAATCACCGCCGCCCTCTGCGTTTTTGGAAGCGCCTGCGTGGCCGAAAGTTGGGTTTGAGCTTGGCCAAGCTATCGGGCCACGCGTTCCCCGAGTGGGTTTCGAAAGCCTTCAGGGAACACGGAGTCGGGCGAGCTATCGGATCAGATGATTTCCGAGCTTCCGGGCCTCCTAGAGGACGTCTTGGAGGGGTCTTGGGCCGTCTTGGAGGCCTCTGGCGGGCCTTTTGAGCAGTCTAAGGCCATCTTCAGGCCATCTGGGGCCGTCTTGTGTGCATCTTGGGGCCATCTTCGCCGTCTTGGAGGCCTTCTTGGCGTCTTGGAGGCATCTTGGAGGCCATCTTGGCCGTCTTGGAGGCCATCTTGGGCGTCTTGGGGGCCTCTTGGACCGTCTTTGGGTCTTGTTGGGGCCCTATTGGCGGCCTCTTGGCCTGTCATGGGGCCATCTAGGAGGCCTCTTGGGCGCTCTTGGGGCGATGTTGGGGGCCTCGCGGGCCGTCTTGGGCCGTCGGAGAGCTGAAAAGAAGAAAATGCCAAAACCCTTCAAACACCAACTGTGGCCTCTTCGGGCCTTCCTGGTGGAGCTCTTGGAGGCCTCTTGGGGCCCTCTTGGGCAGTCTTCGGCCATCTTGGAGCCATCTTGGGCCGTCTTGGAGGCTTCTTGGACGAGCTTGAAGGCATCTTGGACTCTCTCGGGCCGTCTTGGGGACATCTTGGACCACCCTTGGTGATTTGGAGGCCATCTTGGGTCTTGGAGGCCATCTTGGGCCAACGTGAGCATCTTAGAGGCCATCTTGAGCCGTCTTGGGGGATTATTTGGGGACGTTGAGGTTGTTTCCGGGCCTTTCGGGTGGCCGGCGGGACGGGCCGAAGCCCCAGTCGGTCTTTGTTAGGGACAAGAACCAAAACCAAAAGCGAAAGGGACTAGCACGCCAGGCACCCCTGTGATGAATCAACAGGGGGCGGCGGACACATAGGTTATATGCCCCAACTGGATCGAACAAGTACCACTTGAGGCAAGTCGACTGTATGCCTGGAGTGCCTGGGCTGTGGGTATGAAGCCTATGGAATGTTTGTTGGGATCTCGTGGGATGTCTCTCGGGGGCCGTCTTGGAGGCAGCTAGAAGGCTTCTTGGGGGCGTCCTGGGGCCTCTTGGGCCTCTTTTGGGTCTTTTGGGGGCCTCTCGGGAGCCTCTTGGGGGTTTCTTGGGGCCTCCTGGGCGCCTCTTGTCAAGGGCGTTAAAAACACCTCTACCCTGGTTTACGAGGCGCTGTGCGCTGAACCTCCTGTGGGCTGACAGGGTAAACCCTGCATATCGCGCGTGTCGCGCGGCGTCCTGGCGGCTCTCTGGCCTTTGGGAGCTCCCAGGAGTTTTACGGACCACGCACTTGTAACCCAGGGTAGGGGCGTCTTGCATCCCTCAATCTTGGGGCCTCCTGGGGGCCTCTTGGGGCGGAAGGCTCGGATTCTCGGTTCGTGTTCTCTCTCTTGGGCTTCTTTTGGAGCCGTCTTGGCGTCTTTTTTGTTTTTTTTTTTTTTGTTTTGTTTCTTTTTCTTTATTGTTGTTTGGTTTTTTTTTCTTTTTTTCTTTTGTTTCTTTTTTCTTTTTTTGTTTTTCTTTTTTTTTTTTCTTTTTTTTAATTTTCTTGTTTTTTTTTGTTTTTATTCGTTTTCTTGGTTTTTTTTTTTTTATTCTTTTTTTCTTTTTTTTTCTTATTTTTTTTTTTTTTTTTCTTTTCTGGGCCGTCTTCGGTGCCTCTTAGGCCGTCTCGGGGTGCTCTTGGGCCGTTTTGGAGTTCTCTTGGAGGTCCTTGGTCCGTCTTGGGGCGGTCTCGGAGGCCGCCTGGGAGCGTCGGGAAGCCGAGAAGTCGAGAACGCCAAAATGTGTTGAACACCTTAGGAGAATCAATGATTTTGGTTTATTGGCAGCCTCTTTGGCCGTCTTGGAATTGTTTTGGCTCGTCCGACGCCGTCGGAGGCGTTTCTGGCCATTCTGACGCCGTCGGAGGCTACTGGGGGAGCCTCGCTGGAGTTTCTTGGAGCATTTCTAAACAACCGTCTCCTGGAAGCCCTATGGCCAAACGTTTGGAGCTAAATATTCGCGAAGCTATCAGACCAGGTGTTCCCCGAACTGCTGTGGAAATCTTTTGGGGAACGCTTGGAGGAGCATGACGCGGACAATCAGAATAGGGACGAGGAGCAGGAGGAGGAGGAGGCGTTTTGGGAGCCTCTTGAAGCACTCTTCGGACCTCTTGGAGGCCTCTTGGGGGCTTCCCTGAGCCACTTGGAAGCTCTTGGGGGGAGGGCTTCTTGGGGGCCTCCTTGGCCGTCTTAGGGCGTTCCTG